TGAAGACAGTAAGGACTGAAGATGCTGGAAACTAGAGTCAATCAACATGAAGCTGGAAAAGCACGGCTGGTCAAACAGCATCCGAGGAGCAGGAAAGTCAACAATGAAGGATTTTGGCCTGAAATGTTGGCCACCTTCCTATCTACCTGTGACTCCACTTTCAAGGAACTATGAGCCTGCACTCCAAGGTCTCTTCGTTTTGAAAATTAAATTAAGAACAATTGTGCATTATGTTTAAGCACTTGTGAACATCACTTAATTTATTTCTAGTATTACAGGATCCCTTTAGGAAAGTGTGCCACATAGTTTAGATAGATGGAATGCAATATTGACCAAGGTATAAGAAGCATTTTGGAAGTCTGTTGTATCTGTAAATGCTAGCAGTACTTTTTAATGTTTGTGAGCAACAATGCAAGCTTTTAATTCTGGGCATATTAACTCCAACTATGTCCCCCATCCCTAGTTATAATGTGGGATAATTTATCCAGGTGTTGAAAAAATAATTATGGCTATGATGCTAGCTAACTTGCCTTTTTTAAAAAAAAATTATTTTAATGTCATCACTCTTCAACACAATTTGTTTTGAATGTTATTGTTAAGTCTATCTTTTCTCCTTTCTAAAAAAAAGTCTTGAGGAAAGACTAAACATGTTTTTTTTCTCTTTTGTAGCAGTTTTATTTGTATTGTTGAATTATTTGATGTGTGAAACATATTTCATTGGAACTGGGAGCTTTTATTTGTAGTTGCAGACTCCGCCAATTCATGCTAATGATACATAAGTAACGGCATTACAAATTTAAGTACAAGTGAATTCTGTAGCTCATACTCACCGTAAAGTGTGAGACGGAAAAGTTTTCCAAGTTTCTTGAAAATTTTAATCTCAACATTTTATTCTAAGAAGAACATCCTCTTACTGTTTGCAACAACTTGTTGATGGTCAGAATATCTGTTTGCTTTATTGGATTTAAAAACCTACATCAGGCACAGGGATGTATAGATTTACTAACCCTCAAGATGAAATATACAAGACCTGTATATACTGATGGTCAGATAATCATTTTTGAAACACATCGGGAGTTGTGCACAGGGACCCCGTGGATTCCCCATCCTTGCAGACTGAAGGAATTTCATGGGCGATGGAAGATTCTTCTCAGCAACTCCTGGAACCCTTCCAAAATATCCTTTTTCAAATTGGTGGTCTATATTAGAGTGAAATAAATAACTACTCAGAAAAAGTTTTTGATTCAAATTCTGATAAACAATTCAAATGACCCCAACTTGCCACCTTCTGTTTCCACCCCGCCACCCCACAATATCCCCACCCACGCCAGACATGATCACCTCCTCCACCTCCCCTTTCCATCACCAGTACCGTCCTGTTGCTGGACACAGCCCCAACACCTTCCACTGAACACGGTTCACTTAAGCATGCCTTCACTTATACTGCTCCCCTGCCACCTTGCAGCCTTCTGTTGTGAATTGTAGTGGCAATCTGCATGAGTTTACTATTTCTTGGAAAATGTGAGTCAGCTGATGAGACTGTATGCTGTACAGGATTTTCATTGCTTTTTGGTGTTACAAAGTTGTTTTTGCAATGTTTTTCAGTTATTCTAATGGTTTTATTTCTATCCATTCTGCATAGTTGATAGCTGTCGCAAAAGATTCAGATGGAAAGAATGTTGAACAACCCGTAGACATAATGATCAAGGTCATCGACCAGAATGATAACAAGCCTGAATTTACCTCTTCAACATTCTATGGATATGTTGCAGAAGGGGCTACACCAGGTAAATAGGCAATTTCTGTCTCAGATCAGATTTCTTACTCCAGAATACACCAGCTGGCATATTGTTTTACACTGATATCCCAGTCTAAAATATATTAACTGGTGCGTTTTAGACTGCTTTTCTTTGAATTTGTACGTGTTCACATAGTTGAAATATAGCTTTGAATGGAGATTGTATTCAAAAATCTCATTGAAATTTTGCCTGAGTGAAGAGTTTGCCATCAATCTTATTTAATATGTCCAAATTTTTTCTTGTAACTCCACTGTATTGTTGCACTTAATTATGTCTTACTTTTTCAGAGCTGTTGTATGAAAATTTCATTGCCTATTTATTCTGAATTTTTGCTTTCTATATGTAGACTTTTCATGACCCCTATGTAAATTGCATGTTAAACTGACATTTCAGTTGGACCGAAATTTTTTGTGGGCCTACGGCCATATAAATTAAAAATATTTCTGGGACAAAATTTACATGTCCTGCAATTGTCAGCTGTCCATCAACTCAAAGATGCTATTCACACGGGGTTGAAAAATTCTGCCATGGGTCTTCTTGTAGCTGATCAAGCTGCTTCTTGACCCATGAGTTTTTTGACACTAGGGTCAGCCATCCCACGATGCAGAGTGTAAGGTTTGCTTCCTTTACATTCCCTCTCTGCTGCCGCTCTGCCTCATTAGGCATTTGGACTCGAAATGTAATGCTGCTTGATTGCCAAGGTGTCACCATTTTTGACAATTGGTTAAAAAGCTCCTCCCAGTCACTAGACCACAGGAAATAATAGCAAGAGTAGGCTGTTTGGCTCCTTGAGCCTGCTGCAGATGTCAGTGCTGCTACACTCCGTGGAAAGCTTCAGTGTATAAGTTCTGTAATGTGGTACAGTTAACAAAAGTTGAACACTCCATGCAATATAATGCATTTAATCAGTTTCTCCTTAGGATCAGCATCATTCTGTGGATGTTCTTTCTTGATCTGCATCTTTTTGTTTTGGAGGAAACTTCAAAAGGAGTAGGTGTCCATTCCTTGATCTAATCCAGTCATGGCTGACTATTCCCATACTCCTATATTAAATATCAAAGTAAATGGTTACAAGCTATACCCAAGCCTTTAGTTATCTTAATTTTCTTCTGCAATTACTTTCAGGATGTAACTTTTAAAATGTTATGGGCTGTAATGCTTTGTTCTGCAGTCAGTGGATTTTGCTTTCTTTTGAGCATGAAAGCCTATCTGCGTAGGGAATTCTACAGCAGTTTGAACTAGCAATGAGGTCTATGAGGTCCTGTCTCAGAACCTTCTCCAGGCTGAAACTGCCTAACTTGGTTCGTTCTTAAAATTGTTGCCTTCATCGTAGTAACATTCAGCATTCTGCGTCTTGCTTACCAAATAAAGTAGCACCCCATCTAATCTTCGATTAAAATGCAGCCATTTTTTATTACAATCAGTAAGGACAGTGCTGCCAGCTGAAACATAGTGTGGCAGTAATAATAATTGCAATCTTTAGGAACATGGATGCTAAGGTGGAAAAGCAGAAAGAGACATTTGGCTTTTGAAACCCGCTCTAACATTCAATAAGATTATGACTGATTTGGTTCTGGCCTCATCTGCCAAAGTGTATGTATATTGTTGCTTTCTCCTTTTGTTTAAATCAGCAGTGGCTCAGTTTGTACCACTTCCACTTCTGACTGAGATTGTGATCTCCAGGCTCATTCCAGAGACTTGAGCTCAGAATGTGGACTGAAACTCCAGTGACTCACTGAGGGAGAGTTTAAACGAAACATTTAACCAAAGTCCCATCTACCCTATCAAATGGACTTGAAACATCTCTCAGCACTATTTCAGAGAAGAGCAATGAGTCACTATTTGGCAATAATCAATATGCCAGGTCTTGTGTAACCAATATGCGTTAATATTTGTTTTGGTAGGTACCTCCTTCATGAACATAACAGCCACAGACAAAGACCAAAAAGATTCTCTGAATGGTATAATTAGGTACTCAATTCTGAGTCAAGAACCGGAGTTACCCAGCAGGAATATGTTTACAATTAGTTCACAAACAGGATTAATAACTGTGCAGAGTACTGGACTTGACAGAGAGGTGAGTGATCATAGATAAATCTGTTGTGTAGTGACGAAGGGCTTGTTACTAAAATGTTAAGCAGCTTGTTGAGATGTATTGATCCCTCGGTTGATATGGTATCAGAGCATAGCATTGAAGGTGGTTGGAAGCATTTTGGAAATTACATCATGGCCCTGTTTGTCCTTTAACAAGATGGTGTCTGACATGATTGTCAAAGTGTGCACATATACATCCAGTACCTCTTCAACCCACCAAGGGTGCGCAGACGCAGCAGGCACTACCAATTCCAATGTCATTTTAACCACTGTTTGTCAAACTGCCAGTAGCTAGAAACAGGGTCTTTAGGAGCTGAGATTTCTTTGATCATATGTAGCCCAAAACTGAGGATGACTTTTGACTGAGTGCATTAATGTACTTGCAAATAATTGTTTTTTGATTTCATTTTTCTCCTGTCAGTTGGTAAATAAATATACACTTACAATTCGAGCAGCCGATTTGGAAGGGGCTGGCTTGTTTGCCGAAGCTACTGCAATAATCACCATTACTGACACCAATGACAATGCTCCGCAATTTGAGACTAAAGAGGTATTTGTTTTATCTAATGAGTTCAAGCTGTTTGTCTGAATGTAGTAACTGGGGATGATTTGCCTGTTGCCTGTGAATTTTGGGTGCTACTCAAGACTCCCCAGATCTGATTACTGATAAGGTGGATCATAATCCTGTACTCTTTGCTGCTGATGAAGGAGATGGAAGTAGAATTGCCTGCAATACTATTCAAGGGACAATAGGCTCCCACAAGATGAACAGTTATTTGAACAAAATGTTGAAGGTTGGACCCGGGAACAGCTCCGCAGGAATTTGTTTCCTTTAGGAGTAAAGGCATATTTTGGATCTGAAGTAGGGCATGCTAACTGTTGGAAGGGGTCAGGGACCATCCCAGCAAACTAGGCTGAACTTGATCTTTGCGGCATTTTGCTAATCTGCTTCCCCCACCCCCCAACCCATGTGACTTTTATCTTTCTGACTTGCAGGTTACTGTAGAAGTACGTGAAAATGAAATCGATTATGATGTGACAAGTCTCTCTGTAACTGACAAAGATGAGCCTAACTCACCCAGCTGGAAAGCAAACTACAGCATCGTTTTTGGAAATGAGAGACAACAGTTTGCAATGGAGACTGATTTGCACAATAATGGAGTCCTTAAGTTAGTTAAGGTAGGGCATTCCATTCTGTTCGTAAATGCCATAGATACATTTAGTTATCAGAAAATGTAAAAGTATTCTGAATTTTGGAAATGAATTCAAACAGGTTTAGGTGGTGCTTCTAATATGGCTGTGTCTTTTGACACCTGCAGAAAGTTCTGCACATGCAAACTTTGTGAACCACCCTGCCAAAAAAAAGTGGACTCCTTCTACAAGAGGACAAAAAGTGCAAGAAATCCACAAAACCCTTCCATCATTACACTTTTGGCACCACAACCACATACAAAATGTGTTCTTGGGGATAAAGGGGAGAAAATTACACAAGAACGTGTTCAATATGCATGCAGACAGCAGGACAAAGAATCAGTTTGAAGTCTTCATGTGAACAAATGGGTTCATCAAAAGATGTAGTGGTGTTTTTGCCCAGTCCAGACAATCCCATTCCCAGATAATCCCATTCCGTTGTGACAAACAATGGTCAGACCCTTTCGGGAAACGGGCAACATTTGAGTTGTACCTGACCAACTGTCTGCCACATTTGGCATTATTAGAATCCCTTGTGCCATGCCAAACAACAATGTATCCATAACACATGATATACATTTATTCATGCTGGAAGCGCACTGCAGAGTGAAGCTACATAACTAGGTCACTAGGATTGCATAATTCCAGATCCAGTCACATTATACATCCACCAAATTAATAATTTTATACATTAAGATAATGTACTTGTATGCATCCTTGCATGTATTTATCCAAGGAGATTTTCTGTTTTTCAAAAGGAAACATGGTTGAGGTTGTATTTTTTTTGTTGTGCTTTTAAGACAGATGACATTTAGTGCTCTGTGTATAAGACCTCCATCTTGTTTTCTGTATATTTCAGTCTGATAGTGAACAGCCAGCCAGTTGGACTGTTAGTCAACAGAAATGTCAGATTAGTGTTTCATAGTTATTTGTAGACTTCCAGAATACTGTATCATTACAAACCTGACCCTGGATTTGTTATACAGGTTAATATATAGAAAACCACAATCTCATCAGACATCATAAAAATTGAGGAGGACCAGATCCTATCCTCATAACAATGCCAGCCAGGTACAAAGTGTGGGCTAGCAACCAGCCCCAGCCTGCACCTTTATTTTACACTAATACAAATTAGGAGAATTGGTCCTGCTGTTTTTCAAGGTCTGCAGAATTCCAAACGTTCCAGCTAATGGCATTTGGTGGTGATAGGAGTCTAACATCTTGGGAAAAGTGTCTCACGCACCCAAACTTCTTTTGAAAATAGAGCTAATCCATTCTGTTAATTTTCTGCTAGTAACATTGTCACTTAAGGTGACGCATTGAAATAATGCTTCCTTCAGTATTGCATGCATGAGTTTATTGAACTTTGTCTCTCGATACAGCGCTTGGATTATGAGAAGAGCAAACAGCATCGGGTGATCATTGAAGTGAGGAATCAAATACCTTTGACCTCAACCATGCCGCTTTCCTCTGCTACAGTCATCATCAATGTACTAGATGTTAATGAAGCACCAATATTTGATCCAGAAACTAAGGTTGACAAGAAGTCTGAGAATCTACCAGTAGGAAGTACAGTAACCTCCTGCTCAGCAAAGGACCCTGACAATGCTCAAGACCAAATTGTTAGGTATGAAATGGCTTTGTAGGAACGTTTTTAATGCAGTGCCAACTTCCCATTTGCAAATGTCTGGTAAATATGTCTTGTACTGGTTAAATAGTATTATCAGTGCAGAAAGCTTCCAGCAGCAAATGGAACAATGTATGTAGTCAACTCTGAGATAGCCAAGGCATTAAATGGTTGCTTGCTCCTGTTTTTGGAAATATTTATGCTTCATGGTGGACCTAACTCCCTCGTTTGTTACAAAAGTGTCCTGAATTGGTTAAAATTTGGTCAGTTCACAATTGCTAATCTTTCTTTCATGAGTGTTCATGAATTTAAATTTTTATTTTCTTTTAGCCCTCCCTTAATCCTATGTGTATGTGAGAATTTTTGTACGGGAGTTAAAATAATTAAACGTGACAATTTGATGTCTCTTTTTTTTTTCTGTATTGAATTCTGCAATTGGGCTGATGTGTCTGCTTGCACTTTAGCTCAACCCCACAATGGTGCCAAAGTTGAAGTCATGCCAGAGTAGATGAAATCCAGTCTGGATCCTGCTATATCTTTTTTGTGGGTTTTTTTTTTAAAGTAAAAAGAGATTTGCAGCAGGAGGCAAGTTTTTTTTTTTTTTTTTTTTTTTTTTTTTTTTTGCTGCTGAGCACAGAATCCAGGCTTTTGTATTTACTTCTGCTTAAGTACATGAGTTAGTGTTGCATGAGGTTTAATTCCAGTAAATTACAACGCAGCTTTAGCCAATGATGATTGACTGACTCCTTGTGTCTAATCTGTAAGTGACTTCATCTTCCACATGTTCTGTCATGACTGGAGAGACCAGTGCAAGTTCAGCACAAATGTGTCTATGGAACCAGCAGTTGATGTCATTGTCAGCCTTTTGTCATGGATGGTCACCAAAATATGTTGAATCAGATTTCCCCCCATATTGCTTGTCAGCTGCAGTGTTTTCACACAAGTCCTCTGTGGTGCAAATATTTTGGAAGGCTTGATCCATCAGTCTGGGAGCTCACGTTCATACCTGCTGATTAGAGATTTAAGGTCTCTTCTGCCGTATTACTTGTGCATCTTCTATCCTCCTGTGTATTGTCACCTCTATTTGTACGATGTTTTATCATGAGTAGGGGGATAAAAACACAGATGAAACAGTAAATAACTCATTTTCACCTACGTCTTCAATGCATTGAAGATGACTAATAGCACAGTTTCTTTCTCTGAATTTTTTTCCTATTTTTTTTAAACCTGAATTCCATGGAATTCCTCACCTCTTTTAGCATCCCACTACCTGGCAAACAAACGCCATTGAATTGTGGTGAGATTTTAAATCCCAAACTTGGCTTTGTTTCTTAATACCACTCAACCTTGGTGCTCTGAATGATGGAATTCTTTTTATTACCTGATTGAAATTGTAATAGCATTGTTGTTCTGCCACACTTGCCATTTTTCTGGGGATTTGATGTGCATATTCCTGACCACCTAACACCTGACTAAGTATCAAGTTCCATTGTGATTGGATTGCAATTACATCCATTATTTCCAAGTCTAGTAGAGGTGAAATTGATGCAATTAAGTATTCACTGAACCAATAAAATGCTTTATACATGTTTAATACAAAGTTGCTTTTTTAGAACTAGTAATGCTTATTTAAGTTGTCTCGAAAGAAGTACATTCTTCAGATATGATTATACAGTTGTCAAGCTTGCATCAGGAATTGTATTTCCATGCTGAAGTATTTGACTACTCCACTATGGTGAACTGGAAATATATGCAATATGATAGAGTTCAACAGGAAACTGCTCTTTGCTCTTTATTCAGATTTTTAAAAGGGGTTTGTGGTAATTTTCAATTTATTTTCCAGATACCGAATGGGAAGTGACCCAGCAAAATGGTTTGAAATTGAGTCAGATACTGGTATCATTAAGCTAGTTAGTAAAATGGACAGAGAGTCTCCATATGTTGAGAACAGCATATATACTGCAACAATACTCGCTTACGATGATGGTAAGTACAATTTTTTTTTGTGTGAGCAAACCCAATAATTCATATCTTAATAGCCTGGCATTCTTTCTTGGTGACTTTGCAATATTTCTTTACATCATGACATAACCATGAGGAATGATGCAAATAGCCTTGGCTGATTTAGGGCCCTTTTTGACAAACCCGTTCATTTAAAAAATGCATTTTAACATGCTCTTGCTTTTCTGCACCATCTCCAACTTCAGGCACTTTAGGTCTGGCCAACCCACAAGAACATGTCCTATGTCCTCTTTAAAATCCTCTTTTAAATAGATGGTTCCAGCAGAAGCCCAAACGTTAGTTGGGATAGTGCACTGCACAACATACTGGAAAAATTTAATTTGTATTGGTATTTCCCATTTCCTCACCTTGCTTCTAAATTACACTGTTTATCATAGTATGTGTAATGCATTTAAAATTAATTTATCTCCAGTGAAACCATATTGGTTTGTAAATATCCAAAACTGAAGCCCAAATTACATTTACAATTACATGATGCATAACTCTTCTGTGCTGCACAGATAGGCAAGCCTTTGGGAAGGAATAATAATGGTAGTTGTAAACTCATGTTCTTGGGTAACTTTAACGGCATTAATGTTGTGGCTTCTCATTTGTTTTCTGAAATGGGAACTTTTTTGTTTCTAATTTCTTTCATTCAGTTAGTATAGTTAAATCACATTTTTTATTTATTCTCTAGGAAAAGAATGACTGACTACTTTCTATCTGCTTTAGGCATATTGTACTACCCTCAGATTTAATATGTGACAAGACTTTTTAAAAGTGTTAACGTGTGTTCATTTACGCCCTTTGAAAGTTTGAATTTTATGAATAACAGCAAAAAAAAAAGTTGAGGTCTGAACCTTTTGGCATGATATGTAACAGAACCCTGTGTACAAGCGAAAGGATGAAAACAAAGTTGAAGTGCTATAACTTCAGAGTTTCCAGTAACTATTGTACTCCCTGTTCCTTATTGGTTATGTTACTGTTGTCCACAGTAACACCCACTGTGTTGAACGTGGACATTCCCTTGGGCTTTTATTCGTAAGTGAAATGTGTACATAGAAAAAGAATCCCTTTCATGCATTTGACCTCTTGATAATTCTGTTGTTTCCTATAAGAAAATAGGAGCTTCAGCTTTCAGTCTTGAAAGTTAACGACTGATGTGGAAATATAGCAAACTTAAAATGGAAAAGATAAATCTCGAGCATTCACGTGATACCAGTTAGAGGAAGGAGAGGTTCAGTCTAGCAAAAGACTTACAATAGAAAGTTTTTTTTCTCATACATGGAATAGAATAAGCAGCAGAAGCAACAAAGCTAGTCATTCAACATAAATTTGATGCTGTGATGGATGAGACTTCTGGGGCCCTTCCTGAATTAAGATGGGTCAAATGATTATACCATCCGTAGTGATTGCACAAAGAGGGATCAACTGATTCAGTTGAGTGTTGAACTTTCACCAAGCTTTGCTTTAGGATTCAGAATTCTGTTTGTTTCCACAGGGACTCCACCTGCTACTGGTACTGGAACCCTCCTTCTGGAGCTTGAAGACGTCAATGACAATACACCTATTGCTACTGCTCCTTTAAACCGTGTGTGCAATCATAATCCGCTTCCTGTCAATGTAACCATTCTGGACAAAGACATCCCACCCAACACTTTTCCATACATTGTGCAGCCAGCTCATGGAGCTGAGCAAAACTGGACAATCAAAAACACGGAAAATAGTAAGCAGCTTGTGTTTGAAAGGATACTCTTACTCAAATAATGAATTCTTTTTGTTTCTTTCTTTCCCAATCACTTTGATCTTCCTCTTTCAACTTTTCTTCACATCTGAATGTGTTGACAGCTTGCTTGTACATCTCCCTATATTGGGACTTGCTGGAGAATGATTGATTAGCATAAGTGAATGTTTGTGCTCCCCATATCCCCACTCCCATAGAAATGTGCATTTACCTAATGCCTTCAACCTCACGAAGCATCCCAAGATGTTTGACAAATGGGCACAAGGAATTAATGTAAAACTGGGAAGAGAGAGAATGGGAGAAATGACTGAGAATTAGATCAAACACTTTTCTTTTAGTGATATAGAGAGAAGTTCCTTGTGGCTCTTTCTACAAAGGTATTGTTAAATGGGGAGAAGCTTAAAAAGCTAATGACAGAGGAATCCTGTTTGAATGTTTCACATTGCAGAAATTGTAAAAATTGAGAAATCGGGAAGGGATTCATAACTAACCTACAAATTTCTAAATCTTTCTAATTTGAATTTGAATTTGATCTTTCAACAGAAAATCTGCCATCTGTAACAGTGCCTTTTGGCATGTGAAGGCAATTTAATTGCCAGGCAAGAACTCTGCTGGGTTTGGGAGATGAGATTTAAGAAGCTCCTAAATGCTAGCTTAATATGGACAACAGAAGGAATTGCGCTGCTCAATTTTTCCCTGGAAATTTTGCCAACCACGACTTGGTTGCTTCCTGATTTAATGTCTGAACCCGTGCTGACAGGAAGCTGTGGTTGAATGCAGAAATCTAGGTTCTGTTGGAAGGAGCTAAGCTGGTAATAATGATTTACAAATGGAGGACACGCAGCTACGCATTGTCAGCTATAGTTGACACAAATTTCTGAAGGACTGTTTGGGTACCACAGCATTTCTAGCTGACCTTCTTTTTACAGATTGACTTACAGCAGTCCCTTTAAAATCCCACGGACAACAGTTAGTGCCATTTAGTGCGGTGTGCCTGAAACAGATAAGACATCAGTTGACATCATTTGGGAGTGGCATCCTGTCTGAAATGCCACTCAACCACTAATCTGGATACAGTGCTCTATTGGCAAGGCAGCTTAAATTTAATTAACTGCTTTAAAATCTGGTCTCTGTATTGGCAGGCATAAACCTGTCATTGACGTGCAAAGCCGTCTGGTACAATCAATGTCCACTTTTGTCGTAGGGAAGAAAATCTGCCATCCTTACCTGGCCTGGCCTACATGTAACTCCAGATCCACGACAATGGTTGGTTCTTAACTGCCCTCTGAAGTGGCCTAGCAAGCCACTCAGTTCAAGGATAATTAGGGGTGGGCAATAAATGCATTGCTCAAAAGAACATTCTTTAAAAAACAGTGAAATAGGTTTCAACAATCCTGAAAGCGATCAGACATTTTAATATTTTTGTCCTTTTTCAGATGATGTGGTAATGTTACTACTGAAGAAAGTAGTTGAGCCTGGCATATATGAAGTTCCTTTAAAAGTAACGGACAGTGGGAAGCCACAGCTGTCTCAGGTCACAGGACTGCAGGTGCAGGTTTGTGACTGTCATGACAATGGAGCATGTAAAGAGAGGATAGCTGCTGCAGCATTCGGAATCTCCAGCATTTTGGCTATTCTGGGTGCCATCTTAGCATTACTGCGTGAGTATTGTTCACGTGCAGCTTAAAATAAAATTTTGCATCTGAAGAATTAACTTGATAATCTGCATTCTAAATTTTCAACCATCAATGCTTTGGAGTAATTTTGTGTTGTTGCTATTTGCTTTCCAATGAAAATAAGGTCTCTCTTTCCCATAAGTGCTGCTATTTGAACTTTGATAAAATGATATTAAATGAGTGTGTGTAAGTGCTGAAGGTTCTAGGAATCACAGAATGTTACAGCACAGAGTGAAGCCATACACCAGTGTTCCTGTCCTGGCTCTTTGAAAGAGATAACAAATTAGTCTAATTTTCAATACCTTTCTGCATGGCTCTGCAATTATTACCCACCCCCGCCCCTGACCCCTCACCATCACCTCCACACCATGTACTTATTCAATGTCCTTTTGTAAGTTGTTACTAGGTCTGCTTCTACCACCCTTTTCAGACAATATGTTCCACGTCATAATATGTTGCTGCTTGAAGCAGGGGAGGGGTTGGGAATTCTCCTCTGGCTGCCAAATGTTTTGTCATTCAAGTTTCTTGTTAATAATCTGTTAATACCCTTCATGATTTTGAATATCTATTAAGTCTCCCCTTGCTGCCCTCTGCTTGAAAGAGAGCATCCTTAGATTTATTTAAGAAAGGCTGTAAGCAGAAGCTGGGATCTGTAGACCCGTGAGTCTGATATCAGTGGTGGGTAAGTTGTTGGTCATTCTGAAAGATAAGACTTGCATGCATTTGGAGAGGCCAGGAATGAGTAGGGATAGTCAGCATGGTTTTGTGTGGGAAATGGTGTCTCAAACTTGATTGAGTTTTTGAGGAAGTAAACAAAAAGATTTGAGGGCCAAGTAGTAGACATTGTTGACTTGGACTTTGGTAAAGCATTTGATACGGTTCCAAATGGTAGACTAATTAGTAAAGTTAGATCACATGGGCTTCAGGGTGAGCATGTCAATTGGATAAAAAATTGGCTTTACAATATGAGAGAGTGGTGTTGGAGAGTTGGACTGGAAGCCCGTTACCAGTGGCGTTCCACAGGGATCGGTACTAGTTTGCTTGTCATTTTTATAAATGATTTGGATGAGAATATAGGAAGCATGGTTAGTAGGTTTGCAGATGACACCAAGATTAGTAGTATAGTGGATAGTGAAGAAGGTTATTTCAAGATTACAAAAGAGATCTCAATTGAGTCATTGGGCTGAGGAGTGGCAGGTGGAGTTTAATTTGGATAAATGCAAGGTATCGTATTTTGGTAAAACAAAGGCAGGGCTTATACAATTAATGGTAGGGCCCTGGATAGTGTTGTTGAACACAGACTTAGGGGTTCAGGTACATAATTCTTTTGGCATTTGCATCACAAATAGGGTTGTTAAGAAAGCATTTAGTATGCTTGCCTTCATTGCTCAAACCTTTGAGTATAAAAGTTGGGATGCCATGTTGAGGTTGTACAGGACATTGGTGAGGCCACTTCTGAAATACTGTGTGCACTTCTGGTCACCCTGTTGTAGGAAGGATATTATCAAACTGGAGAGAGTTAAGAAAAGATTTACCAGGATATTGCTGGGAATGGAGGTTTTGCGTTTTAAAAATAGGCTGGGAATTTTTTCACTGGAATGTAGGAGGTTGAAAGGTAACGTAGAGGTTTATAAAATCATGAGCAGCATATGATAAAGTGAATAACAAAGGCCTTTTTCCCCAAGGTGGGAGAGTTCAAAACTAGCAGGCATATTTTTAAGGTGAGAGGAGAATGAGATTTAAAAATGACATGAGGGGCAAATTTTTTTTTTTACTCAACGGTTAGTGTGTGGAATGAATGCCAGACAAAGTGATGGTTGCGGGTATGGCTACAATGTTTAAAAGACATTTGGATAAGTACATGTATAGGAAGGGTTTTGAGTGATATGGGCCAAACGCAGGCAGGTGGGACTAGTTTAGTTTGGGAATATGGCTGGCATGGACCAAACGGTCTGTTTCCAAGCTGTAAAACTCTGGCTCTATCTTACTAATGTCACTTGTAACCTCGCCCTATTTCTGATCATGAAGTAATGATTGATCAACATTAATATTTATTTATTTCCCCATTGATAATTGAGTTATGGTCATGATCACTGATACCGAGCTTATTCCCTTTACTGCTGGATTTCTAGCTAAAACTGTATACTTTGAGGAATGGTTAGCAGAGTTGCAAATTCCTGGCCTGTTTTACAGAGAATTCCCTTCCTCCAGGATCTTCAGAGATCCAAAACATGTCCTTTAAAAAGCATTCAGCATTCCTGAATAATCAAGGTGGCATGTTATGCAGCCGTATAGCAGTTTACCATGGTATGAGCAGAGTTTTGGTGGAGATTGTTGCCTTGCATACGACAAGTGGTAATTACGGAAAATGCTCAGAAGAATTTTTAAAGAGATATACTTTTGACAATCTGGGTCTCTGTGTCAGCCACAAGTTCAATCCTGATCTTTCAAACTTTGGTCTACACTGATATTAGTGAGAACAGCACTGACTTTGATCGTCATGAGTTTGACAGAAACAAAAATAGAACCTACATTTTTATGAAGTGTTCCCAATGATTTGGGGCTTATCAAAGTGCTTTATACTCAAAATTTGTTGAAATGAGGTCAGCCAGTTAATATAGGAAGTAAATTGGCCAAGTATTTTTTGTACATAAATGCCTATGTTTTTAAAAGTGCCAATAGCATTCCCTTGTTAAATTCGACATTTTAGTAACTAGTAAATTTGGTGAGGGGGATGTGGAAGATCACCCATTCTGATCAGTAATTTTTTTTCCTTTTTTAAAATACTATGTAGAAACCAAACAATTTGACAAGTAGCCACTGATGTCCTGAGTGAAGTTTGTTGTAGTAAAATTGGTATGTGCTTTGGGCTGCTGGAAATGCTATTGTGTTCACAAGAATATAAGCGCTTATATTCTTTTGTGTTTCTGATGTCAAATGCAGGATCTGAATTTTTGTGTCTAAATTCCAACTTTTTTTCCTTCAGTCTTGGTGCTGCTGCTTCTGCTATTTGTGAAAAGGAGGCGAAATGTCAAAAAAGAGCCCCTACTGCCTGAAGAAGATGTTCGGGACAACATTTATTATTACGATGAAGAAGGTGGTGGTGAGGAAGACCAAGTTAGTATCAGGGTTTAAAATTTATTCTTTTACAGATCGCTTATGTTAACTGATTTACACTCCACACTTGCCCTGGAATCTATTTTCTACAAGGGTTCACTTATATCTTGAGCAACATAATTGCATTAGATCATATATTTTGTTAGACATTGGACCCTACTATTCACAGCTGACCTGTGCTCCTCCAAATAGAACTGCATTATTAAATATGAATCTTACCATGAAAGATGGTAAAATGGATATACCCTGCGAGAATGTAAATGTCCCATCTATATAAAGAGGAATCTAAGCCACATGAGCTAGAATAAATGAACAGTATTTTCAAAAGGCTTTGACTAATGTACTGCCAATTCTAAGCTTGGTCATAAATCATTAAGAAAATTGAAACTTGGCTGGTGATCAAAGTCCCAAAATGTACAAATTCAAAAATTCAATAACAATGGGTGTAGTAATGTAAGGGAAGGACTGAAGTCTCTGATCTGTGGAAACAAATTCATTTGAAGTAAGTTCCGTACAATTACTTAACTTTTTTTTAAAGTTCAAAATTCAGACTCAAGAATTTAATTGACGCATAGAAGTTGCCAACAAATACGTCACTTTGAAGTGACCACTTTTTCCCTATCGTAAACATTTATTTTGAAATCCATCATCATCACGCGACTTACTGTGGGGAAAAAAGAGTTAATCTGAATGCGACATTCAAACAATTGAACAAATGCGTTCAATTGTTTGAATGTCACACTCAGATTAACTTTTTTTCCCACAGTAAGTCGCGTGATGATGATGGATTTCAAAATAAATGTTTATGATAGGGAAAAGTGGTCACTTCAAAGTGAAGAAATTGTTAGCAACATTTTTCATCTAGAATGACCAAAAGACACTCCACATAAAATACTAACTATTTGAAGACCTATTGGAAGAGTAGCTCGGGGTTGTGTATTCGGTCAAAGCCATAGCTTTGATAGCACCCTTGCAGTATAGCTTGTGACATGGCTAAGTGGTGTCCTAGCATTGTTGGTACTGCACCAGACCCCTTCAGTTTAGAACCATAACACATTTCCATATTCAGTTCCATACATTTGTAAACAAAAAAATGCTGAAAATATCAGTAGGTCAGTAACGTCTGTTGAAAGAAATGGAATTAATGTTTCAGATCATCAGGATGTACAATATTGCAAAATTGGACTTGAATCCTTGATACATTTGACCATTGGTATCTCAAAGTGGACAACATTTTTTTTTTTGGCAATCTTGTTCTAAAGTAACATGTAATGAAATTAGTAACTATCCAAGCACACCATCTGATTTTCTAGGATAATGATTGAATTGGTAAAGCTTTTTCGTAATCCTGGTTTTTTAATCATAAATTGATAAAGCAATCACAAAAAAGGCTGTCTTTTAAACTACACTTTTCTTGAAATGAGCTACTTCGTGTTGGAATGTGAGATATCAATCATATGGAATGATAGAATTTTATTCTATGGTATGAAAGTTCATTGGACGGACATGTTTTTGAACTCAGTTTTGGGTTTTGACTATTAAATCTCTAACTTTATTGAATCCAAATTGTTCAACATCTAGGATTATCAACTTAGATTTAGAAACATTGATTTTGTTTTCATCCTGTTACTATACCAGTTCTCACATTAGGCACAAATGGAACTAAAACAAAGTATCTGCTAGTCCTGAGATCTGCTAGTCCTATCAATTTACAATGGCCTTTGTGTACATTCTGATTTCTGAATGGGCTTGAGTGCTCATGGCCAAGTCTGCATCAAGTTTCAAGTCGAGAGCACTGTTGCAGAAGTTCCTCAGTGGTATTTCATATTGGACTCTCCACCAATACAAGGCTATTACAAGATGTTTGCTAATTGCATTGAAACAACCTTTTGCTATTCACCTTTTATCTATGCCCCTCATGACCTTATAAACCTCGAAGGTCATCCCTCAGCCTCCTATAGTCTTACAGAAACATAGAAATAGAAAATAGGAGGAGTAAGACATACAGCTCCTCAAGTCTGCTCCACATTCAGCAAGATCTGATCATCCAACTCCGTACCCTGTTCCACTTCCCCCCCCCTCCCATACCCCTTGATGCCTTCAGCCCTAAGAACGATTTCTAATTCCTTCTTAAAGACGTGCAATGTTTTGACCTCAGCCACTTTCTGTGACAGAATTGCAAAGGCTCACTACTATCATTGTTTCTTCATGAGTACGATGCAACATCCAGGTGAAGTGCTGTTCAAGAAGGCAGTTTGCCATCACATTCCTGAGTGCAATTAAGAGACGTGTATTGATAGCAAAGCCCTTATGCTGTATACAGATGGGAAAATAAACTAGACGTCCAGTAGCTTGTTCTCGGCTGATCACCGGCTGTGCCAACTTCTGCCCATGTATTCTGGTTGGTAAAGGCTGGCTTGTCCAATGAAAGAGATTCTCTCCTGTTGGCAGAGAAATCTGGATAAAGCTTTGGAAGTATTATTCTGACAATCATTTATCGGTTTTCCACCTTAACAAGCTTTAAAGATTGTTGGAGGTTTTGCATGTAACAGCTGCTATTACTCCTTTCCGTTTCAAGCAGAAAATACTTCTTTCCATTTTTAAACTGCAGTTCTAACTTCCAGCACCTGATATCTCATCTTTAAACAGGATGGCTGCAGATTGGGAGCATATCATGTTGGCATTGTGTCGACTGCCAATCATGTGGATTCCTCATTGTTTCCTTTATGCATTTGGTATGCATATCCCACGCATACTGCTCACAGGGAAAAATCATCATCATCCTCAGTGCACTATTCCTACTTATAAGGTGCAAAAAAAACTAATAGTCCAACACTAATATGATAATATAACTATGTTCCTCTTGTTTAACAGGATTATGATCTGAGTCAACTGCACAGAGGTTTAGATGCAAGGCCTGAAGTTGTTCGTAATGATGTGGCTCCATTACTCTTGGCACCACAGTATCGGCCACGCCCAGCAAACCCAGATGAGATTGGCAACTTTATTGACGAGGTAAGGCACCACCATTATCAAAGTGTGAAAGTTAAGTGAATTGTATGATCATAAAATGCTTTTGTGCAGTGATAGGAATTGTACTTATTTTCCCCTGTTGTTTCTTTCTCCATCATAGAATTTGAAGACAGCGGATAATGATCCTACTGCTCCTCCTTATGACTCCCTCCTGGTGTTTGATTATGAAGGCGGTGGGTCAGAAGCAGAATCTTTGAGCTCAGTGAACTCGTCCACCAACTCCGATTTAGACCAGGATTACGACCACTTGAACGATTGGGGACCACGCTTCAAAAAACTAGCTGAGATGTACGGCGGTGGGGAAGAATGAGAAGATGGCTTTAATCAGCCATTTTAGAGACTACTTTTTTAACCCTGTAAATGCTTAAAAGAAATGAGTGCAGCAGATGCTAGGAAATCAATGTATGGCACTATTGGTGACAGGATTGGGTCAAATTGAAATTACATGTCGACCAATCTTGCGTCGATGTTTGAAAGCTGGTTACTAAATTGTCATTAAAATTTAGATAAATATCAAATTTATCTAAGCTCGCCAGCATGGATTATCCCTGAAAAGCTTTATTTCCAATAGTCCATAACTCATGCAGTTGGATTTTTCCAAAGTTAAACAAGCCAAAGGTTGTTGAGTTTGTAGTTCTAGTACACTTTCTTCCTCCTCCAGTATATTACAACTGAACTAATTGCAACATAATTTTATTCTTTTGAGTAAGAAACATAATGTGAAGAATTTGAAAATAATACATTAAATTTAAAGTAGTGTTATTTTAGTTATATATATTGCTTTCAGTAGATTTAAGTAAATACTGTGTTCAGTTGATTTCCTTCATTTATTTCTATCCCTTGTATCATGTGTGTACTGGTGTAAAGCATTGTGGAATCAAAACTATTATAGCTACTAGCCAAAATGCAATAAGTTGCCAGCACATGCATTCTCAGGAAATATTCATTTATGAGCTTTTAAGAAAAGCAAAACTTTTAAGAAAAGATATTATTTCCCCAGTTGATGCACTAACATCTTGGGTTGTCAATAATTAAAAACAAAAGAATAAAATTATTATTTTATATCAAGGTTCTGAAGCATGACTTTGTGATTGACAGGTAGGCTTTGAGTTGCTTGACTGAATTCACATCATTCATTTATCAAAGTAGGTAATTTAACTACTGTATAGTTTTACACTGAATGTAAACAAATGCAATCTATACATGTTTGGGCAGCAAAGTTTTATGTTGTGCTGCATAAATTCATAGGGTTAAATGCCATTGCCTAATAATAAATTTATGCTGTAGTCTTTGTGTTGTGCACCCCGAATTATACAAAAAAGAAAGGAGATGGGATAAATTTGCAACAAAAATTTGGGATGTAAAATTTTAAGAATCTTCCAACTGAAAGAGACGTTTCAGACAGAAATTTGCACAAGAATCTCTAGTGCATCTTTGTGGTTGTGCATTTTCCCTTTTACCCATTTTCTTTTTTATTTTGCCTACTCCATTCCCACTTTAGTCTTTGATGTACGTGAAGAATCTTGGTAGGAAATGCAAAGTAGGCCTGTCAAGGTTTGAAGACATGCATTTGTTTGTTTACATTTCAATAGCAATTTGAACATGGATAGATATTAGTTCCCTTCTCTTACTACACCCCACATGTTTGGGCCAGGTCAGTTTCAAATTTGGGTTTGTACTTTTAAACCAACAAGGAATTGAGAGCTTTGTGGCCAATGCATGTTTAACATGTGTCATTCTTCATTCATGATTGAGCTCTCAGCAGAGTACTCCTCCTTGTGAAACATGAATTCTATAATTTTTGCTCATTTCTAACTTTTAGTTCAAAGTATAATTTGTATGATATGAATTCTAATGGAGAAATTTAGAGTAGAGTACAGTTTTAGGAAGACTTGAATTAATTGTTTCTATCTATTCAGTTTATCCATTAAGGATGGTCTAATGGTCAAAGGAAGATAATTCCTGACAACCGAAGATTGTGTCTTTTTGATATTCATAGTAATCTGTCTAATGTACTGAGAGAATTTTGATATCTGTTTTCCTAAGTGACCTTTTTTAATTTGTTCTGCCATTGAATACAGTAGCAATATGTGGTTTTTAAATAAATCTTTATAACAGTTTAAATTTGTTTCGTTAGATGTTTCCTGAGCTTGAACTGGCTACTTGCAATTTATTATTCTATGTTTTTAGGATTTTAATGAGTTGCCTGAATAATTAGTAAAGTGTTACTAAATAAGACGAGCAAATATTCAATAGCAAAGGGCAACATTCATGGCTGGCATTGTTGAAAGCTGTTCAAAGATTTAGCAAATTCTGTGGTGTCGCTTTTTCTCCCTTTTTTCTGTTGTGGCTTTTATTTTGGTGCTATCTGTGGTCGTTCTGTCACATACCAAGCAAAGTGAAGCAATGAAGCTGGCTAAGCAGCCAATCCAATTGGAGAACACTTTCAAACTGGAAACCAGGTTGGCAGCGTTCCTTGTTTTCTGGATTGAAAAGGCCCGTGATGACGGACTGCCAGATTATATTTATAATAAAGAAAAAAGATAAAATCCTCTCAACTCTTGAACCCCAATGGCCATGGTGATAAATTTTGGAAAAGTCAGGCGAGGTGTCCAGTGAGGCCATTCTTAACATCAAGGCCAGAATGTCCCTTTTTCAACTAAGTGTTAGCCTTTGAGATGAGATTCTCACTAGTAAGCGTTGCGGACCTATTGGCATGGGTTGTCACTCAATAACAGCCTTATTACTATTTCATCTTACCTCCTTAATATCACTCTCCTATTCTACCACCCACTAGTTGGAAGTTAAACACCAAGAATTCCTGAAAGTCAGGACAGTTTCCTGGCGACTCCAACTCATCTCTCATTCCTCCAACCTCTATTTTGGATGTCTGGCACCAGCATCTGAGGGTATGTTCCATGGGTAATGATTACATTTGTCCCATGTCCATGAACACTGGTATTTGATGTGTACCTGCCTCACTGTACCATCATGGCACATCTGATCCTTATGCAGTAGATTTCTGCACTTCAGTACTGAACATTGGAGTGATGGACACCTCTCATTGCAATGCAGCTGCAAGGATAGTTTGCACACACTGAGAGGCATCCAGTTTACTCACTGGACCAAAGTGCATGTCCATTCTGCTCTCTTGGTTTCTGAACACTCGTGTAGTCACTTTGTGCCTACTTGGATGTTCACAGCAGCCTTGCCTTGTCTTGTCCTGCCTTCTGCGCTTTAGCCTTTCAGCCGGGGCTAACATGCTACTATCTTGCCTTGTCTTTAAGCAGAGAATCAAAGTTAGACAGCTTGTCATGGTTTGTTAGCAGTTATCCGAGAAGGAGATGGCCCTGTTGCTTCACAGCGCCATTCTACATCAGTGTTACACCTACACCATGTGCCAGCTATATACATGAACGTACTTCCACCAAATGACCGTGTCTCAAAGTCTAAGAAGAGCTGTCTGCTGCCAAGTCCAGGGAGGCACAGTAAGTCTAGGGCAGCCTCTAATATCAGTCTAGGGGCTTGGACACAGTCAGTTAACCACTTTGGCCCGGTCCCAGTCACAGTCAGGAGATTGCTTCATCTACAGTCTCAGGGGTGGAGTTGTGGGACAACAGTCTGGGACCTGTACAGATATCAGTCAGGTTCAGATTACTCACTGTTCAGGGATGTCTGCCTAAATCACTCAAGAGGGTCAGGGTCATTCTCTGGGATCCATCCACTAAATGTTGATGGTAGTGTCTTAGGGACCACTGCTACTGAAAAGAAGCTGGTAAGCTTAATTGTAGGGATTGGAGACAGAGAATTCTGGGATAGAGGGGATGACAATTGTGAATGGAGTAACTTTTATATAAAAGGGGTGGAGATGGTAGACCATTGAAGGGAAGAGGGTAATGCAGACATTGGAGACATTGACAGCAGCAGTGGAATGCTGGATCTGGCATGTTTACTCTTTCTGGGGCTTGTGGATAAAAAGGGAGAAAAGATTTAGAAAGTTTGGGTGAGGGCTGTGGAATTTGGAAGCCTATGCTGTTGACTGGGAATTCCAAAATGAAGGAATGTTTACATCTGGGGATTTGTAATAAGAGGCTGAGCCTTCAAAGCCCTACTTGAGAGTGACTGTTGTTTCCTTCCATTGTGCAGTAAAATAACACGTGCACAATGAAGGTGAAAATGGTTGTGACCATACCCGGAATGGACAAGGCGAGTGTGTTGTTCTGAGAGCGAAGGGCTTCAACTTTGAGCAATGGAAGGCCCTTTGAAGGGCAACAGTATGACATAGACTCCTGTAAAGCTGAACCTTAGGCATTGACCTGTGTGCAGTTCAAATCCATGTCCAATCACTCTCAACAACATTGTGCATCATTACAAATTAATCCTATTCCTGGCTCTAATGCATTAGAATTGTTTTGTTGCCTGGAAAGAATGACTAGTTGCTGAAGTAGCAAATGCCTTCCATTTTCCATAACCTGCACATGGTACTGAAGCAGCTCCCTTCACACCTTGGACCATCCAACAAGGGGTAAGACTAGAAGGATCGGTAGGCTCTGTACTGCCAATATCATAGTTGTGGTCAGATAGACGTTCACACACAGCTAAAAGTGAAGATATTTACAAACGTGAGGATGTTTGGAATCTTTGGAAAGTTGTCTTTCTTGCCCTCCCACTGTGTCTCTGTTAACCCCTGGGTTCCACAGCTGGGTTGGAATGGCCTTAGAATTATGGTTGAACAATCCTGGGATTGCTGGTAACTAGAGAGGCCAGAAATACTGAGTGCATCCTGCCCAAAGTCTGTTTGAAGGTGGCAATGGGAGAGCAGCCCAGCTCTCAACAATGGGTTTTACTTGGTTACCGAGACAGGGAAGTCTCTGCATCATCACATTCATGGCAGCCTCCTGCTCAGGCAAGGATCCTCTCCATGTTTAAATGGATGTCAGGCACCCCACAATCTGTCTTGGCTCCCACCACCATACCGTGGGATATTTACTTTGAGGGGGGTGGGGTGGGGGGGAGAAGAGGGAGAAAATAATAAGATGTCCTGAGTGAGTGAGTAGACATTGCACAGGGGATGCAGGGTAGTGACTGGGGTCAGTGAGACTGTGTGACAGATGATAACGGAGAGATTGGTAGACCCGAGGCCTTGGTGGGAGGTGGATGTAGGTGCAGAAAGTGAGTGTGGGGTAGCAGAGAGAAGATAGTGGCAGATGGTCATCAGCCTTCTTGCTGGACTGTTGGGCGTCCCTCCAGATCACCAGAGAGGACTGTGGCACCAGACCCTGCCAACCTGGCCCAATGTTACCACTGGGGGCAGCAAGGTATCCATGGTCTAGAGGAAAGAGGCAGCTCTACTCTTTACCGTCTCCTCTTCCAGTTTGTGTCAGAAAAGCAGTGTACCAACTTTCTTTTGTCAGCCATCTCTGCGACAATTCTTCTAAAGCTGGAACTGTGAAGGGCAACTCCTGACTCCTGGGATCTGATCTACTACATAGCTGCAGTTTAAAAATGGTGGTTGATGCCAGAAATCTGGGAGGTCTCAGCCGTCATGAGTTTTTCTGCCATTGGTGAGTACTTAATAGCACCTGTGTAATGCATTTGAAGTGCAATACATACACAGAAGGGAGCAATGGAGAATGGTATTAGATAACTCACCAGATCTCACAGATAGAAACCTCCATGAAACTCCCTGAAATTGACAGCCAATTTGTAGCCAAATTCAGCTGCATGGGTAAAGCTTAATATCAAGAATGTTCTGATGAGTTGGATAAAGGAGTTTCCTTGTTATTGTTTGTCATTATGCTGCCCCTAAGAATCCACCAGATTCAGGTCTTTTGAACTGATATATGGGCATGAGATGAGAGAATCTCTTAAATTACTTAGAGAACGTATGACCCAAAGCTCAGAGACACACTTTCCCAGCTTATGTGTCAAATTTCTGAAAAGCTAACTAAGCATATGTATTGGCCAAAATGTACTTCAAAACTGCTCAACAACCAATGAAATCTAGAGCAGATGAAAAGGTCAAAGCACAGAATATTATCGATAGAGACGAAGGTGTTAGTATGTTATATAGTCTATTGTAGACTCATAAGTTGATATGTGTAGAAAGGGCAGGGAAAAATGACTTTGGTTATTTTAATCTTCATGAAGAAAATGTGTTGCCCTAAATAACATCCTTGCAGGTTTAGTTATTGATGAGTCAAAATAATATCAGTTATTGTAACACCAGGTAGACTTTATCAGTGTAAAGTCATGCAGTTTGGAATGAAAATGTACCAAAAACGTTTCAATGATTAACCAACAGTCATTGAAAGATTATGGAACTGTGTTCTATACGTTCATTTGGTTGCATTCAGCAAACCTGAGAGGAACATTTAAACAATTATAATGAATAGTTTGATCAGGTACAAAAAGCCCATATGGGCTTCCATTTGTCTATAAGTGAATTTGCCAAAGCAAAAGTGATTTACTTAGGCCATGCTATAGGACAAAGCTAAATTTTACCTAGGCTTATTGTAGATTATCTTTCTTGGATTTTCCCATGCCTGTGAGAAAATTTGAAATTCTGCAATGTGTAGGTTTTATCAGAAATCCATTCCAAATCTCAACATTGCCCTTGATCCCCTGATTAATTTACTAAAGAAGAGCAAAACGTTTCAGTGAACAAAAGAACATTAGAGGTTTTTAACAATTTGAAATCTGTGCTGACAACTACATG